GCATGTTGCACTCTGTGGCGGACGGACGTAATTATGTAGCTGTTGTGATCGGACCGCTTTGGACAGCTGTCGCTTTACACGGACACCCGTACAGCATGTGGCAGACTTCCAAAAAAATATCTGGCTCCTGATGAAAATTCGAAACTTGTACATCTCATATGGGACAACTATGGCCAAATAGCTACTGATATATTTAAGCTTCATTATTGCCATGGTTATTTCTACTTACATTATGGGCTTACACAAACATCTCAGACACACGGACACAGAAGTTAGAACACAGATTAGTGAGATTACACAGAAACCTGAATCCTGGTTTAGATTACACAGATTTGAAACCTGTTGACAACACAACGAAAACAAACAGCGCCCCCTTTTTCAGCAAATCTTTTACCTTTTTGTGTTGTTGGTGCTTTTACAGACCGAGACAACCGTTTTCACCGGAGTATACGTTTTATGAACCCGCCCCGTTGTATTCATCGATCTCTTCTTGTGAACTTTTGGCGGCTAGTTTGGATCCAAACTGGACGGAGCGCTGTGCTTAACTACATACATTCGGCCCGAATTATAGTAAGATGGTTATATACATGCTTGACTGTCGTAAAAAGGTCGCGAAAGGTCACTGAGAGAGTCGTGAAAGGTCAATAAATTGGATTATATGGATTTACTTATCACTCTCTCTCTGTACTATCTTGTAAGCCGCATCTATTGCTCGCACTGAAATCTATACAACTATGCTATGTCTCTAGTTCATCCTTCATAATACCATGTGTATGATCATCATCGTAGCTTTATCGTATCTCATAGTGATTGCCTCGGTCGTTATTGAACCCCACAATTTACCGGGCATTCGGTGGCAACTGCATTATCGCGCGTATATGAAATGACCCCGATACAGAGGGGACCCAGTAGGTCAGAAACATCTTCGTCGTGATATTAGTCTTGGTTGGTAACTTGCTATGTATGTTATGTATAGTAATAGAATCATTATCTGGGGCTGTAGCTAGCCTAAGCTTAGCACGTCGTATCTGTGACTACGCCCCGTCTGCGAGGGAAGCCGTGTTTTGGTGACTCACTCAGACTGCTGTTTGCAATCTCTCTCTCTCTCGTCTCTCTCGTCTCTCTCGCTCTCGCTCTCTCTTCCTCGTGCGCCTCTCATCTCTCTCCCTTCCGTCTCTTCTCATCTCTCTCAGTCTCTCGCTCTCTCTCTCTCTCCTCATCCTCTCGGCTCACGCTCTCGCGTCCTCTCTCTCTCTCTCTCGTCTTCTCTCTCTCGCTCGCTCTCTCTCGCTCGTCTCTTCGTCTCTCCTCTCTCCTCTCTCTCTCTCTTCTAATTATTCTATCTCTCTCTCTCTGCTCTCTTCTCTCTTCTCTCTCTCTCTCTCTCTCTCTCTCTCTCTCTCTCTCTCTCTCTCTTTGTCGCTGTCTCTCGCGCCGTCGGCTCTGCACGTTCTCCTCTGTTTCCTACTTCGGTGGGAGGAGGACGGAGAAGACCGGTATGTGGCACTAGATGTGTCTCCGCGATGTGCGTGTTTGCGCATGCGCGTGCGCCGGTTACGCGTTTGGTCGGATTGAATTCGGCGCGGTAACCCTTTGACCGATGTGACATCCAATCGAGAGCCAATAAACTAGTTCGCTAACAAAAATGCAGAACATTGCGGGGTGGGAGGCGGTGTTGATAAGCTACAGAGCGGAATTGCGTGCACTCAATAGTGATGTATAACGATGGCGCTGCTATGTGGTAGGTTAGTTTTTGACGCATCGGCGACACATTTCCATAAATGCTTGCTAAAAATGTAGAATGGTGTGTGGGCGTGTATGTGTGTGTGCGCGCGCGAACTGTGCGTGCGTGGGGTGTGTGTGTGTACATGTGCGCGGCGTACGCGTTGCGTGTGCGTGTGTGTGTGTGTGTATGTGTGCGTGCGGGCGTGTGTGTGTACATGTGCGCGCGTGCGTGCGTGTGTGTGTGTGAGTGTATGTAAAATTGAATTCCGCGTGACTGAAGGGATGGCGATTGCGCGATGGATGCGGAAGGATGCTAGCTGGCTACACTTGATAACGGTTCTATACTGCTTTAGGACCACGGCTATTCGACGATCGATTGGCGTAGAATTTGGTTAGGTTAGAGTTTTTGTGTGTGTGTGTGTGTGTGCGGCGTGCGTGCGTGCGTGGTGCGTGCGTGCGTGCGTGGCGTGCGTGCGTGCGTGTGAGTGCGTCCGTGCGTGCGTGCGTGCGTACGTGCGTTGGTTTGTGTTTGTTTGTTTTGTGAGGGGGGGGGGGGGGGGGGCGGGGGGGGGATTGCGTGTGCGTGTGTGTGTGCGTTGTGTGTGTGTGTGTGTGTGTGTGTGTGTGTGTGTGTGTGTGTTTGTATATGCTTGTGTTTGTGCGTGTTAGTCACACTATAGTGTGTGTTTAGATTAGCACGCTACCGAAATCGAAATCAACATCAACCCGTGTTTATGAATTAACGCAAAATAAATCGTTGAAATATGATGCCGTTTACTCGCTTAATGAAGTTAAACATAAATGTAGACTTTGTTGCTATTGACATTCACCTTAGCACAGCCTGGGTTGGTTCAACATAGCTCTCTCATTCTCTAGAAGCGAGTTTTATCTGCCGGTATGTAGTATACCAGGTTTTATACGTAAGAACTTCCTGGATTATCAGTCATTAGCCTGCTAATATAAAATACTTATGCGAGTCACGTTACTTGCGCTGGCGTATAAAATTAAGCAGGAAACAATCACGTTATAATGTGATTATGATGTGATCATGTTGGTTACATAGAGTGCTGCCACCAGCGTTTCTATTCCGAATATAATCCGATTGGCATGTCAAAATCGAAGTCACTGGTTAATTTAGGTAATTAAGTCCCAAATTAATTAGGTCTCAAAATTATTCACCCGTCTATCATACACGTACAAACACAGTCGTACGAACTCGCACACGGGCGCACGCGCATACATACAGGCGCGCGCACGCATGCGTACGTAATCATATACATCAAGAAATTTCAAGACAACCTTCAAAGGGCACATCGCTGAGCATATTTTATATCTGGTCGATGCATGATTCGATTGAGCCAATGACGAAGGCATCTTTCCTTTCGATATTTCCATATCATCTGTGAACTCAGAAATCACATATTTCTAGTGAGAAGCAAATCGGCGCAATGGGGGTACGTAGTTCTTGTGTGATTAGCAGCTGTCTGAAAAAGGGTATTTTTCGGGGGCATGCCGCCTATAAGGCACCGTATAACAAAGTCGCAAAGGGTTATAAATAAAACACGTGTTATATATTGGTCGTGGTGAAATTAACCAGTTTTGCCTTTCTTTCACGAAGGAAATGATAACGGAAGTAACGGTAATTTGCTTAAGCAGTTAATTGCCAATTAAAAGGATCTTGGCGTGTTCTTCTTATTGATATACGACTCAGTGTGCAGCTGCCCCATGCCCTTACGATACCTATGAGGAGGTCTAATATAACCCGATGTGTTTGATATCCCTATAGAAGGAAGATCAGCGCTATAGGATGTGGGATATGCAGGGGCTACTCTAGCTGCTTAATATGGGCACCCGTCGCGAGCGTAGCGAGCGTAATTTTTGTTTATATATATATACTTATCTATCACATTAATTTTGGGCGTTTGGCCGACACATTTTATTCAGATAATAGATTATAGATCTGATATGAACATTTTATGATAAAACGGTGCCTACGTAACGATAGAAACATGGAGATCTGCATCAGAGCTCTGATAATTTGGGCGTGATTTGGGTTGTGATTTGGGCGGCCGGTATTCGGTATGAATTAGGCCTGGATTAGGCCCTGATATAGTGTTACATTGAAATATTATAGGGTGGTTTGCAGTTTAGGCCGGATGTGATTTTTTTTCTCCAGAGCATCGTGCATTTGTATGTAAGGTTTATACTGCACGGTAACGTCGTGTAGAATGTGCAAAATTGTCGTTGTTTAATTACTGTCACTTTCAATTGATTTCGTGACGCAAATGCGTTGTTGCTGAATTATTAATTTTTGTTTCAACAAGAAACCTTTTAGTAAAATAATCATAGATATCATCTCTAGAGGATATGTCTATTACTTCACAAGTTCACATATGTGATGATCGTATAAGTTCGTGACTAATATCTTTTAATTATTTGAGGCTTCTTTACAGCACACAACTGTGTCGCAATGCCATCTACTCGCACCTCGCAGGCGAATGAGCTCATTTCTAACTTTTATTTGATTCTCATTTTTTGCTTCATTTCATCAGTTAGACATTGTGACCCCGACGTGTTATTTTGTACTGAAATATCGCAGGTATTTATGGTGAAATATCCAGGTGCACTATAGGAAGAGCGGCGAGTGTTGATGCTGATAATTATTGTTGATGGTTTACTTGAACGAGGCTCTTACATTTCTATTGCAGTTGTATGATCGTATCAACAGTAAGCAGCCTGCTACAGTCAAGCGACCTCCATCTGACGCTCTAGAACGAGCAAAAGAGGTAAGCCCATCTACAGTGTTAAATACGCGTGCCTTCTTAGCACAACAACTGTTCCGATATAAATTAATTCTGTGTTTTGCGTATACATGTTTATGCATAAAGCCCCCCCCCCCGTATTAAATTTTGCAATAGATTCATCAGGTTGGTGTCATTTAGTGAAATACCGCGTGAATGCTAATACTATTGGCTTGGACATAATGCCATTATTTTCATTATGCGTTTTTATGATGTTTAATGTTACCAGAAATGCATAACACTATTATACTATAGATATATTTCCTGAGATATATTCGCTGAGACTAGAGTCCCTCTAATTGACCTTAGAGTCGACTCGCTCTAAAGGACTCTAACTGAGACTATATAGTGCTGCCATCTAGTGGTAGTAAATGTTGCAAAACTTACTCTTGTTGGATCTCTACTTTGTATACTTGATCCCACAGAACGAGCGTAGCTGTTTGGAATACGTAAAACCATCACAAATATTTCTTTATTAACATAATTAAATGTGTTTATTCCATCTCAGTCCTGTCTATGTCTAGGTAGATTACCAACATGTAATGTACATGTACCAAAATTGTAGATCAACAGAAGAAAATACATACAATATTGGTGCAGTGCATATAATTTACCGATGATTCGCCATTTGAAGACAATTTAATATATTATTATTTGCCCTCCACGCGATCCCTCTTTTCATTGGAAATTTTATTTTATACTTTAAAGGCGCACTGTAAATTTTAGTTATTAAATTCCCAATGTACATCCAAGTAAACACATCCGATCAGAAGAATATTATGATAGTATCCGAATTGAATAAAAGCAAACTTTGGGTCTGTTTGCTCCTGATGCCGTCTTTCATCGCTGCTATATTGTTACATGCACTGTAGACCATGCTCGACCCTCATGCAAGATGAACCATCGGCACAGCCTAGTGGTTCTCCTACTACTTTGTAGTCGTAGCAAACGTCGCCCTTGACCTGCAAGGCAGTTCCCCATAGAATGTATCATATCCGGAGTGAATAATGATAGTATAATGATAGTATGTAGCGTTTCGTATCCTCCTGCGACACCCGATGGCGCCACCGGTCGATACTTAGTGGCTAGCAACAACCTTAGTGCTTCTCACTCACCTGTTGTGCCCGGAGGCGTTGAAACGGCCGTATCGTCGCCACCCGGACCACATAACCACACCCTTGCCTGCTGGCCTTACGTTACGTTGAATAACAAGTGCATACCCAGGGTAAGCACAGAGGTTAAACAAATAGAATGAACTATGAACGCAGCCGGGCAAAGGCCTACAGTAACCGGTGGCCTCTCCTCCTGTGCAGCCGTGCACGAGAGTTAATACTTCTCAATACCCGTACTCTAGCCTAGGAATATTAAACCAACCTATATATTATTCGACTACTACTAGTACTGTATTATTTACTTGCCCCACAACAACAGGACAATACGACAGTGCCTACTCATTAATTAACCGACGTGCCTGTCTCTCTCACTCATGAGGCAAGGCACACGCCAAACACTCGTGACCACGTGACCTCTCTACTCGTACGCTACCTGTCACCATAGCCGCCACACACACAGCTCACAGGCCACTCCACACCATGCATACGCACCATATATACTACCTGATGAGTCCTCCCTCACTCAGCTACCGGGACGAACTGAACTACACGTTCTCCCTCAACCGATTCCCGAGCCGAACTGCGTACCGTGTCTCTCCACACGGCACTACACTAGCTGTTAACACGGCCCGCGCCACTCACGGCCACTAGAGGGGGTGGCTAACCCACCCAACATGGCTGCCCCCATGTAGTAACTCGACTATCTACATCGTTAATTGATGAGCCGGCAAAACACCACGAAAACGCACACTAATAAACAGCAGACATCACAAATAATTGTACAGTCACAAACACGGAACACCCACACTCCGGTTCCCAGGGAGCCACCCTGCTAGGAACCCGAGGGTCCGGTGCCACCGCTACAATAATAATACTAATAATAATAATATAATAATAATAATAATATCTATTATTCACTCCTGATCATAATATGTATAAAATGTACGTTTTTAAGTTCTAAATTATACATGAAATTATCACTGCAGGTGGCAGCACTAATCAGCCTGGGTGAAAAGGGGAGCGATGCATAACAGTAGTTGTAGGTTATAGAAGTGGGAAATTTATACTACACTTTAGCCGCATATATATATATATGTATATATGTATATATATATATATATATATATATATGTATATATTTTATTAAACTATATATATATATAAATAATTAGTGAGTGAACCAGAAGCTATACCCCCTGCCTTTGGCATACCGTTTAGATTATACACGAAAAGGTATAGGAGTCGTAGATTTATGGATGCAAACGCACGCACGCACGCACGCACGCACGCACGCACGCACACACACACACACACACACACACCTTGCCGCAGACGTCGCAACAGTTACACGCATCCCTGACGAGCGGTCTGCCGTCGCACTCGTCCTCCGTTTGCCCGTATTCAATGCACACATCCAGCCATTCGATGCCGCCGTTGCCGTTGGAGCCCTGTGGGATCCAACAGCGGCAGTCTGTGGTCCCGGCCGCCTCATGCACGGCGACACTGCGGTGACCATAGAAATATATAGAATAGAAATATATAGAGTATATAGAATAGAAATATACAGAGTATATAGAATAGAGATATATAGAATATATAGAATTACTGAATAGAAATATATAACGACACTAGAGCACTGATCGGCCAATAGTCTAAGGAATCTAACTAGCTTATTATTTATGTGGTGGTGACGGGGTAACAGGTGAGAAATGTCAATCTCGCGAGAAATCTCAGTCTCGCGAGAAATTGCGTGGCAAAGTGATTACTGAGCGAGTGCGATGAGGAAGATACTGGCTGGCTGCGCATGCGCAGAATCTACGCAGTACAGCAGATTTAAGAGCAGGATAGCTCGCTTCAATAGCAGATAAGATCGGTTTACTGTTTCACGAGAAGAATATTTTTGAAAAAGAAATTGAAACCCGTTAACGTCCTAACAAGTGAAATCCTGTTTAGAGTAGTGAAAATTCTTGAATATGACTTCATATATATGTATTAATATATTATATCTAATCATAAATTTTAAAAAGTGAGCAATTTTGACAAATCCAAAGAGGCAAATCCTTCGGGCGGTTGACCTCATTATGCATGGCAGCCATATTGGATTTCTGGCAGTCGGAAGGATGGTAGGGGTTTGAATCCATGCCAGATCAATTGCTTAGTGTCGAAAACATGGGTCTAGACAAACAAACGAAGTCTCTATATGGATTACTAAGGAAGATATTCTTGATTTAGTGATTTGACCTAATTAATACGCTAATTAGGCCGATTATGCAAAATGCTACACTTATGCAAATTAGCATCCAGCAGTTTGTGAGTCCTTATGACCTGTATATTGCATTTCCAACATAAAACCTTATAGTACTCGACATTTCTAGGTTCACTAGGCTGGCTAGTAGACTAAACTGGGAATTTTGCTGTAGAAGAAATGGGAATTTTGCCGTAGGCGAAATGGGAGTAGGCCAACCGCGAATAAACCCATGCAGGGTATATCTGTGGAAAATAGATACGTTTGTGAGCAAGACGTGAGTACTAACCGCGCAGCGTCAAACTCCTACCGGTTGTTTCAAATATGTTTAGATTGGTGAAAAATCTGAAGCAACCGAGTGTCATTCAATCGACATTTTGGTTAGCACAAACTGTTCGTTACGGAGGATGTATGTATGGGGGCGTTTGTTTACAAGAGCTCCCCTACTTACGAACAGGATAGGTTCTTGGGGTTTGTTTGCAAGTCGAAATGTTCGGAAGTCCAACATTACTCTTATAAATACTGAATACTGTACACAGTATTGTAAAAAAAGGGTTGTACATACCCCAATAATACTCGACAGTATCTTTTACCAGCCGTAAACAGTATTACTTAAAGTCTGAGGAACAGGGACTGGGAATGGCTTTAAAGGTTTATAGACTTTTATTAAGGTTGTATATGCAGACAGATTTGTTCGTATCTCTGAAAGTTCGTAACTTGCTTATTGCTTGTTCGTTCATGCTTTATTGTTTGCTTGGAAATATTGCTAGTGCTGTACAAGATGGGATAGTTACTCTAAACTTTCAACGTCTTGTCTTGTTAAGGATAGACTCGGGGTTGTAGGTGAAATATGGTCAAAGTTTAAATACCCTTTTTATTTGATAGATGACACACCATGAACCAGCCACTCCTACCTAGTGTCTGATATAATTTACCATAGGTACATGTGTACGCAACAGAAATGATGGCATGGTTAAGCCAAATTAATCTTCATGCATCGGCACGCCTTACATTTTATAGTACTAGCTTTTTCATGCAAATAATAAACTCATAAATCATAAGATAGTTACATGAGTGTATTTCACAATGGTTGCACTGTAGATATATTTTATCGCTCAATTTCATTCAAACAAGGTCTGGCAAAATCACCATAACTGACCAACTGTTGGAAGATAGAGACTTTGTTTTGG